CCCCCCACCCGATCTGTCGCCCATTGAACACACCTGGAATGAAATGAAGCGCAGATTACGTGCATTACCTAATCAACCGGTGACGTTGGCTGATTTGGCTGCAGCGTTGCTACAGATCTGGAATGCCATCCCACAAGCATTCTTGAACCGTCTGATAGGCTCCATGCGTCGACGTTGTCAGGCTTACATTCAGGCGAAGCCAGCAACAGCAAAGGTAGTTAACACGACACCAGATACAGATGATTTGAAGTCAATGGTCAACCAGCTTACTACCGCCATAAAGAGTTTGGAGCAGAAGTTTGATAAGTCACATCCGCCTAGTGGAAATAAAAGTCAGGGACACCAGGTTAGCGGACATGGTTTTCGTAGCCGAGGGAACGGTAGGTTTAATGGGAACCAAAGAGATCGGCCAGACATTATCTGCTGGAGATGTCACCAACCTGGACATGTGAAGGCGAGGTGTGAGGTGGTGTTACCGGATAATTTAAACTTCTAGCCACCTGCTCCGAGGGACCAACGGTAGGTGCTGATAGAACAGGTCCCGAGATACCAGCGACTGCGAGGACAAATGAACTTGTTGGGAGCTCTAATGAAGTCACCGTCAGTATCGAGAGCATGAAGGCTAATGCACTATTAGACACAGGCGCGACCGTATCAACAATCAGCGCGACTTATCTACAGAATTACTTACCCATCTTACCTGTTCGGCACTTAGACAAGTTTGTCAAGGTTGAGTGTGCTGATGGAGAACAGTTGCCTTACAGTGGTTACATAGAAGCCTTGATCAAGTTTGATGGCCTAGGCGAGACAAGGGAGGTAACTTGTTTGTTATTGGTAGTTCCTGAGAGTTTGTACAACTCGAAGGTCCCTTTATTAGTTGGAACCAACATACTTACTGTGTTGATGAATGACTGCCTGCAGGAGTACGGTGCTAGATATGCACAGACTGGTAACTTAACTACACCATGGTTTTTAGCTTTCAGGTGTTTGTCATTTAGGAACCGTGACATGGTGAGAAACCAGAACGTCATCGCCCTGGTCAAGAACATCAGTAAGTCCAGGTACATTTTGAAACCAAATTCGACTCTGACGATTAAAGGAGCCTTAGATCGGAAGGTATTGTATCCACCTACGTGTGCTATGGTTCAACCATCATCCAGATCTACATTACCAAGTGAGATTGACGTCAGCCCGTCCTTGGTTTCATGTGACTTCGGGTCCGGCGACTTTGTTGATGTATTACTATCCAACATCACGACTCAGACTTACGTCATTCAGCCTGGTGCCGCCCTTTGTGAAATACAGCCAGTTACCGTTGAGGAGATGCCAGACAGCAGTCAGAATACTCTACCTGAATTCATGGAGAAGATCGACCTCTCTGAATCGGTGGTCACTGGAGATGAATTACAGGCTGGGATTGAACTCATCAAGAGTTATGAAGATATCTTTTCGCATGATGACAATGACCTTGGATGTACCAATTCAGTGGAACATCGTATTGAGTTATCAGATATCAGACCATTTAAACAACACCACCGCAAGATACCCTCATCGATGTATGAGGAGGTTAGGACACATTTGCAACAGTTGTTGTCTGCAGGGATCATTCGACCTAGTCATAGTCCTTTTGCGAGTAACATCGTACTAGTTAGGAAGAAAGATAACTCCTTACGCCTGTGTATCGACTTCAGAAGATTGAACACTGTTACTGTTCGCGACTCGTACGCACTTCCTAGGATTGATGACATTTTGAAGTGTTTGTCAGGTTCCAGGTATTTCACCAAACTTGACCTCAAGTCCGGATACCACCAGATTGCCATCGAGGAAGGACACAAGGAGAGAACTGCTTTTACGGTAGGCCCGCTTGGTTTCTGGGAGTTCAATCGCATGCCATTTGGGTTGACCAACGCCCCTGCAACTTCCCAAAGGCTCATGGAACAAGCTATGGGAGATTATAACCTTACCATCTGTCTAATTTACATTGACGACCTGATTATCTTCGCAGAGACCTATGACGAGCATTTGGATCGACCCCAGAAAATATTTCAGCGGTTGAGGGAGAGTCATTCGAAGCTGTCACCCAAGAAATGTGATTTCTTCCGAGATCAAGTCACTTATGTAGGACATGTGGTATCGTCAAGAGGAATTGAGGCAGACCCCTCCAAGATTGAGAAGGTGCGAGATTGGCCTGTACCGACCAATGCTGATCAACTCCGACAATTTCTTGGTTTTGCCGGGTATTACCGGAAGTTTGTCCAGAACTTCAGTAGGATTGCCAGGCCGCTCAACGAATAACTTCCACCATCTCGTACTAAGAAGACCAAGAGAGCACAACAGCCAGCTACCACGCCTCCTTTTATGTGGCATGAGGAACACACTCACGCTTTTCAGAGGTTGAAGGATATTTTATGCAGCCCCGTGGTCTTGGCTTATCCGGATTATTCGTTGCCATTTGAGCTTCATGTTGATGCTTCTTGTCATGAATTTGGGGCCGTGCTTTACCAGCAGCAGGGTGGTCAGTTACGACCTGTTTACTATGCTAGTCGGGGGATCAGCGAGTCTGAACGGAATTATCCTACCCATAAACTGAAGTTTTTAGGACTCAAGTGGGCTATAACAGAGAAGTTCCGTGACTATCTGAATGGGAGGACCTTCACTGTTTATACTGACAATAACCCGCTGACGTACATACTTACTAAGGCCAAGTTGGATGCAACAGGACATCGTTGGCTCTCAGCATTGTCAGCTCACACATTTAACATCAAGTATCGCCCAGGCAAGCATAACATAGATGCGGATGCATTGTCAAGACTACCCACGCCGGCTACCAGTGAAGCTATTGAATACCTTCGAGGGCACACAGAGAATGTCTCCTTGGACAGTGTTCAAGCTGTATGCCAGTTAACTACTGAGGTGGTAGGTTCTCTGGTGGAAAGCGTGTGCATGTCTGCTGATGTTGTTGATGTAATGGAGGATGATGTACAGGATGTCCAGACCATGACTCTGCAGATTTGGAGACAACTTCAGGCACAGGACCCTGTTATTGGTTGTTGGTTGACATTTATCCGTCGTAACCATAAACCCACCAGGAAAGAAGTACCATCTAATCCCGACAACGCGACTATGACAAGGGTTTGGGATACGCTGAAGCTCAAGCGGGGTGTGCTGTACAGATGTATGCAGCAAGGGGACTCCATAACTAGTCAGCTGGTTCTCCCGTCATCAATGAAAGAGAACGTTCTCATGTATCTGCATGATCATGTTGGTCATCCTGGACGTGAACGGACAATATCATTGATTCGAGACAGATTCTTCTGGCCGAAAATGTCCAAAGCTGTTGAGAACTGGATAAAGAAATGTTCACAGTGTGTGCTACGGAAGACACCAACAACGCAGCGAGTACCGTTGGTTTCCATAGTGTC